ATGAAAAGTACTATGTGACTTCGCACTTAGTGCAGCACGGGATTCTGGGATTACGTCATCAATATTTAAACTCTAGGGGAGTGGAGTGCGTTAAAATGTGGTCCGAAGCACAAATGGCAGGATTCTACCTATTGTTTTCTCATATATTTCGAACGGAGTTTGTGAAATATAATTGTAAGCTGTATATTGAACTGCTTAATTGGAATACCTAGGTGTTTTTCCTGCCAACCTCTCCCCTTCCATCCCGTTACCATAAGTGCCTTCTACTGATGCACAGTCAGCTACATTAAATAAGACCTCTTTTCCCTGGTCATAATGTTTTCCCATTTCCATGTGTCCATGTGTCCTTCCCTAGAGTATCATTTCTTTGTTTAATGGTTGCACATGAGAAGACACATGGATATGGATAAAACTCAAACAAAGAATCTCATTCTCATGGGAATGGCACGTGGTYTGAAATGGGAAAACATTAAACCTAAGATAAAGAAGTCTATTGATCATGCCATTTTTATATTTTCATGCCATGTAAATATAAATAATCAATAATCAATCAATATGACATCAAAACAAACAAACAAACAAACACATCCAAGGCATTCTTACCTTTCAAGATGGGTTATCTCTCCATTTAGAAATTGAAGGGCTCCACCTTTAAAATGATAAGAAAATGTTAATAACACTGATCAAAAACATTAAAATCATTTGCAAAGTTACTTTTACAGTTTCAAACTTTTGTTTCAAACTTGATTGTATTTTATCAATGTGAATAAAGACCTATTATTATTATTTTTTAAAAAAAATTAAAATAACAGTATTTTTTATAAATTTTTCAGCAAATGGGCACAAGGTGCTTTTGCATGTAATTCAAGGCTAATATACATCATGCAAATCATGCCATCATGCATATAAAATAATATTAAATGCACTGCACTGATCATTGCTGTAAAGCACATTCAGATGGAAAGAAAAATAAATTATTATAAAATTAAAGCACTTCTTGCATCAAGTTTTACTTACCAAATGTGCCAATGGAATTATCTATACCAGAGGGTGATCCATGTATTAATTTTTCAGCTTCAAATGCCCAGTCACACACTAATCTTAAGGATTCTGGTAATAAAACATATTCATTGGAGGTTTCTAGTCTTGCCCTCTTACTTTCAGGTGGATAGCCACCTTCCTCTTTATCCTGTTCTTGTTTCTGGTAAGTTTTACTGTTATTTTTGGTTTGAGAAGAGAAGGAGATTGAGCCAATTGCGAGGAGCATAGAGGTGACGAGACTTATGCTGTATGAGGCAGATGAACCAAGTCCTGCTCCAATTGGAAGATTGGATGACACATCCACATCTACTGCTAGAAACCTGACAAACAAATGTAAGAAAATCTATCAGGAATTGATAGAATTGATAGGTGGAGTTTTAATTGTATATTAATGTAATGATATCGAAACATTTAATTGAAGTGCCGATACCTAATTGTCTAGCGGAAAAATAACACAACTAAAATTTGTGAAAAAGATGTCTTAAAAAAATCAAAACCTTGTGGAAGTGTTAGCAGTAAGGCACGTAGCACAGTAAAGTACAACATAAAAAATAACATCTTGGAAGTCTTCAAAAATCCCTAAATAAAACGTATTAGGCCAAACAAAAAATTAGTGTGTTTCCTGTTGCATGAGAAAAATAATTGGGGTTGGTAGGTCGGATTTTTCTTTTCTTTTCTTTCTTTTTTTTGTTTTTTACTGATACAACAGTGGAAATGAGCTTACTGGAAACCCTTTGGTGCATTTTGGAATGAAAAAAAATATTAGGGTCAGCAAAAATCGGCAGGAAAATTAGGGTCAGTCGTGCAACAGGAAACACACTTATTTTGTTTGGCCTTAACAATAAATCCTAATTCATTGACCCACRACCAACATTCTTACCTCTTGTTCTTGTGCATAAAGCTAGTCACATAGTACAAAAAAACCTTTGCAGCATCTTTTACTGATTCCAACTCCAGCTTATAATGCTTTTCAATCAGTTGATTAATAGCATCCATACAGCTTTGGTCACAAGGGATAGGTTTGTTATCCTTCCTATTGTAACTGAAGATTTTCTCCGGGAAAGATTTTTGAAGTTCTTCCACACTCCATTCTAATTTTTTGTTTAGTTTTTGTAGATGTASAGAAATACTTTGGTTCTGAGAATGGCTGATTGTAACTGTTGTCCTAAGTCCTATGCTTGCTGCTATGGCAGGCTGTAAGAAAATAATTCTAAGTTTAGTTGCGCTTGTAGTCATGTGTAATGGTCAATGTATAAGAATATAAGGGAATATATATGGGGATTTTGTATGCTTGTCAGCTCTCCCTCAAAATAATCTCAGAATATTTTCATCTACTTGTCCTATCCAACCCCTCCCCCTCCCCCCTCGAATAAGATGTTTCGTTAACAGTGGAAATTATCATACCCCCTGTGTCCCCCCCCCCCCCNAATAAAAATAAATAAAAAACAAATTACAAAGATTTTTTAAGGAAACGTAATTTTAGCTGGTTAGGTAATACGGAGAAAGGAAAACTAAGATGACTAAAATGAAAAAAGAAAAGAAAAACTCTCAGACAAAAGGGGAGAGCTATAGCGAAATGTTTCTCAAGTGCGACCTCAGAAGTGAGAGCTATAGGCAAGCTAGTGCTCTTACCTTCCCATACACGACAGCATGTTCTCCATAAAGAATGACTTTTCCTGGTGCACTTACAACTACATGGTTAGCTTTCATCAGAAAGAAGCAAAATAAAGGGAAAAAGATTATAAGACTGCTTCAACCTCCTAGTCTATCCGTTTACTTTGGTCAAGGATCGATTCGCAAGTCAAGGGGTGGACGGGATAGACTGGGATCTGGTCACAGGGACCCCACCTCAAATATAAAACAACTGAAAAACTAGCCTCAGTCCTTGTGCTTGATTTCCGGGAAGAGGACGATGTAGAACTTCCGGGTTCTGAACAGTTCTGTTGCACGTGCTTTAAAAAAATCGCGAATAAGGTGATACTTTAAGCAGTTAGTGCAAACATTATATAAGAAAAGTGAGTCTTTGGATGATCTGGTCAAGAAGATGAATCAATCGACGATAAACGAAACCAGTTTAACCAGGCACGCGTGCTCTTTCAATTTAGATTTTCAGATTCCAATAACCATTCTGCTCGGGACAACATTTGTGCTTTCAGTCAGCGAGAACATCGTAGTTTCGCTAGTCATTTGTTTGGACAAGAAACTTCGCAGACCTTCAAATGGCTACCTGTTGAGTTTAGCGTTGACCGATATCTGTATTTCAATGGGGCTCATTCCGATGGAATTGACGTATGTGTGGTCATATCCCAAGTGGCCTCTTGGATCCGAAGGAACGAACGTTTTGAACTCTGTTTGGCTATTTTCTATCGTAAGTTCATTCTTGACGCTATTGGTCATCACATTGGACCGTTACAAGGCAGTCATGTCGCTTGTGCGGTACAGAGAAGTGGTTTCTTGGGGAAGGACCCTAGTTTTCATTGGAGTCGTCTGGTTGTATACTTCGATTGTTGTCATATTAATGAGAGTGTTAGCATTTTATCCTACATCAGGAATGACATATGAATGGAACGTCAATTATAGATTTTATTACCCTTTCCTGGGTCTGCACATAGTTCTTCCACTGGTTATTATCAGTACGCTGTACCGTCAAATCTACAAGAAAGCTGTGGAGAATCGTGCACAGCTTTTGTTACGGGGCCAGTTACATGGTCCAGGAAGTACCGCTACCTCAGATACTGTGAGAGAAACTAGAATCGAAGTCAAAATGGCAAAAACTGTTGGCTTTGTGTTCCTGTTTCTTGTCATTGTGTGGATACCAGTCTTAATTCTGGAAATTTTTTACGCGTTTGGAAGTGAGTCCTGCGTCATAGAGCAGTTAGGTGTGGTAAGCTTGTGGATTACCTGCAGCAATGGAATGATCAATCCATTGGTGTATTCTCTGAGGAACAAGGACTTTCACCGTGCTATATTGCAACTTATTCGCTGTAAAAGACCAAGGCCTGCCAGCGCTTAGCCTAAACTGAAACTGATGCCTTGCATTGTAAGTGCTGTCATGATATTAAATAAATATCATGGGTTTCCTGTGTTATGAAACCGCTGACCACAGCCGGCATCGCCCGACCTCGTTGAGCTGCGCCACTGCTGTACTTGCGGCGGTGATAAGCGATGACAAGTTGTTGGTTTTTTTTGTTTGTTTGTTTTTTTTTTTTGTCGTAGTAAGCTGCACGATTTTAAGTCTCTCTCTCGAGTTTTATATTGTACTGTTTTATTTCATTTTACTACTTCTGACAAACACTTTTGTTTTTTTTGGTTCTTTTGGTTCGTCCGCATCTTTTACAGGCGAATGTTCCTTGAATGTACCCTCTTTAATTGATGTCCACTACTATAGATATAGATCCCTTTGATTTAATTAGAATTCGTTTTAATTGGAAATTAAACAATAAAAAACTGCAGGGCATTAGTCTATCCCCTGCTGCCTTCGGACTAGGGGATTTTCTTGCGTAATTGTTACACACCCAAGAGCAGGTCTTAATTGCCGTCAGGTCTGACGAACTCCATATATTGTCTAGAGCTGGACCGACTTTTATCGATGCGTGCGCGGCTATTGAAGACGAACCGAGTAGCGGAAATGACTGGAATTTTTTGTTTTTCGTACGCTCGCGCTGTTTTCCTTTCATTTTTGGAATAAAAATTAATCAGTGCGCTAGAAAAGTGGGGTATGGCATGATCGGGTGTGACACATTGGAATCGATTTTTTGAAAATTTCTCAGTCAATGCTGGACTTGGGTTCAAATTTCACCTTATGAAAAGAAGGTTTTCTATTTTCTTTTTCTTTTTTCTTTTCAACTACTATTTCAGACCTTCAGGAAAAGCTATGAAAACTTTGGAATGATGTCTAAAAATTGTCGACATGACACTCAGTCCTTCAAACCGATCTAGCCCTCGATTAGTTGCTAATAAAAGAATGCAGTAAAAACGTATAAAAATGGTCTTACTATTAATTACGATAACTAGTGTTACATTTTAGAGTGCAAACAATATAACCGTGAAACTTTAGTAATACTAAATAGCACAATTTTATGCAAATTCCATTGTTTTCTATTGTTTAATTAGCACTATTTTGTACTATTTAGTAATTAGTGTTTTATGGATTAATTGTTTGCACTCTAATGTTATTTTAGTTATATGTTTTATTGTAAAATTTATATGTAAGTCTCTCTCTATCAAAACTAATATATGAAGTAAAAATTTAAGTTTTTAGTAGTTGACACTTATGATGATACATCTTTAAATATTTTATTCGAATGGTTGTTTTGAATTTTATTCTTATTTTACATTTGCCACAAGGGGCTGCAAGGATAGATAGATTTCTGGAGTATCAATACTATATGTCCTATATAGCAGGTACAATACCTCCAGCGACAGGTAAAGTCACTATTACCCGCCTTTTTTCGTTTCTTTTGATTTTTTTGAGTCATTGAATTTCTTTCTTTCTAGTCTAGCAAAAACCAATGTTGGGTTATTAAAACTCGGTAAAAGCCAACATAACTCTTCATCCCCATGACAGGTCACTGAGTAGCAGTCGAAACGCGACGTGAAGGCAAGAGAGGCGTTTTCTCTTCGACATGCAATTTCCACACATTCTTTCAACGTTTTTACATGTCCGATCAAAGACTTTTCAACCTTGGGGTTATCCAAACCGTACATCAAAGTTACGTTTTTCTCTGGAGCACCAGTTTGGTAACACGATCTTGAATCACTCGAAGTAGTTCTTGAAGGAACGGCACTGCAATAACCTGTGAAATAAAAACAAATATGGGAATATATAAAGAGGTACAATCAAAATACACAGTCAATACTTAGATAACATGTATTTTTTWAAATGTAAGTTTAAGAAAAACAATAGGAGTTACAAGTGAAGTTTTTTTTCCCTCTATATAGGTAAAAATAATATTGAAATAATGTTTCTTACCAGATAAAATAAATAGCAACAGTGGGAAAATCAATGATCTGTGTGAAAATGTACGGTCTGAGAATCCTAAAAAAATCATTTGTTTAAGATACATCTTCTCCAGTTTAACAAGTTTTTCCGTCCCTTATGCGTTTGACTCAAAAAAAAACGTAAGTCGACAACTTCTAGAGAATTTCATCGGTGGCCATCGGAGAAAACAAGTGTCTGAAGTGAGATTCTAAACTTTCCTCGCCAAACTTGTCTTGCAGGTGATAACCCTTGACAGTGGCATGTGTCGTCAAGCGAGGGTCAATAAAATGTCATCTCATCCATAAATAATGGCAATTTATTTTTAAAACGCAAAATAATCCGCCAAGGGAGGAGAGGGTGGTAGTTGTTAAAGTCAATAGTCCAATTCACAGGTAGCCGTACCTGTGATCGAAGCGAGACGAACGGTGAGCTTGCAATGATAAAGAACGTTTTTACAGCCATTCTCAATCACACGCGCCCTCTAGCGATTGTTTCTGTCGCGACGAAGAAGGTATTGGTGGGCGTCAATCAAGGCGTTTCCATGACATTCCAAAAAGCACGTGTTTTCCGACAATGTTATGGAAACGCCTTGTGATTGACGTCCACCAAAACCTTCGTCGCGACAGAAAAAATCGCTAGAGTGTGATTGAGAATGGCTGTAACACTTTGAACAATTATTGAAGTCTCTATCATTGCAAGCAAGCAACTGGCGCAGGAGACTGTTAAAGGGACTATCAGGTAGGTTTAGATGAGATCACTTACTATAAAATTGAAATTAGTGTCAACGTGTTGTTGCTGTTACCAATAAAGAATCTTATTTTCAAAGACATGAGGCATAGTTTGAAGAAAGCATTATCCCCCAGATTGAAAAGTATACTCGCGTAAAATACAAAGTGGATAATTACGAGAATCATTTTACTTTATTAAAATAATATTTGTAGTAGTCTAAATATTCCACTTTATTAAGATTTATCTGCAGCTTTAGGACTAAGACATTTTTATTATTAAATGAAATTACAGAAAAAAGAACTGAAAAAAACAAAAGCATGGCATCTCGACATCGTTGAGAAAAGAAGTCGAAATATTCGAAGATTATTGAATAAATTTGTCTGTTTCTTTATACAGTGTCTTTAGTTGGCATGACAATTAGATGGCAAAAATAGTTTTTGAAGTGTGTTATAGAATGAGTTTCCTAAAGGAATGTGGGATTAGTGTGAGGTTCCTCCTCCTCGGCGTCCATCGGTGCCTCTACCGCGACCTCTGCTATTACCACGACCTGAAACACCATAAACAGGAAAATGAGTCAGTCAGTCAGTCAGTCAGTCAGTCAGTCAGTCAGTCAGTCAGTCAGTCAGTCAGTCAGTCAGTCAGTCAGTCAGTCANTCAGTCAGTCAGTCAGTCAGTCAGTCAGTCAGTCAGTCAGTCAGTCAGTCAGTCAGTCAGTCAGTCAGTCAGTTTCTCTCTAATGGAAAGAATCTCTACCCTACCCCTCCCCCCTCATCCCTGTAAAGAATTGAATCAGGTTCGGCACGAGTGCGCCATCTGAATCAGTCATTTTGGTACACGAGAGCATTTGATTACTAACCAGGGATGAATCGCTTGATTCTGCGCGCTCTTCCTCCTTGTGTCTGGACTGTGCCAGATAAGATAATATAGAAGATAAAAACAGACCATTATATATATATCTTACTAACTGGAAATTGCTTGACAGTTCTTAGATTAATGATATACACACCCCTTTTGACGCCCGATTGGCTTGCTTCTTGCCCTGTTGTACTGGGTCTCTTTAGTTGGACCACTGTACTTCTTCCTTTGCTGGAATCTACAAGAATATATAAGTTTCATTACAATTGGCCTTTAACGAATAGGATGCATGCTCAATCATGGGGATTTCTTAGGGGACGCCATTTTTATTTGTCTCTTGTTCAGTTACAGGTTAGTTTAGTTTTTGAATCGATTCACATTTACTTTGTTTTTGGTATGTTTTACAAGCCATATTGCCACAGTCTCCTAAAACAGTCCATGATTCAACGCACGTCCTACTCGTCACCAGTTTTCCGCGCAACCTCGAAAAGACCAATACACACACTCAAACTTACGTGGAGTAAGCTAGAGATAGAAACTTCTCAGATGCAGACGCGATTTTTTTCTTTCGCGCCAAAACGCGCTCGCTCGCCCTTCAAGCTCTCGCTACGTCGCTGGTAACCTTATAAAAGTCGTTTTTTACCTTTTGCATCAGAGCTTGCGCTTGTTGAGGCTCTAGATTCAATCGCCTCGGAAGAACTAGCACCTTCAACTGTAGAAACAACAATTTTCAAAGACAGTTTCAGCAGCATATATAATAATCAAATAAATATCGAGAAAAATGACATTCATCGCACAGATACGATAGTTCTTTCTTAATATTTTTTTCTCTTAATAATAAGTGAAGTGAGAAAGGTATATGACAATTAATGGACTACTTCGTCGATACGGCGGCCATTTTGCCAGGGGGCAAAACAAAACAAAGATGATGGAAAATATAGTTTCGTGTGTTTGTCTTTCTTTTATGGGTAAAAGTGATCGATATGCTGTCCTAATTCATCTTTTGTTGTATTCTCTTTTGGTCAGCTGTTAGTATCAATGGACGTCATTACTGTAACAGAGCTTTATTGTCCCCCTGGACGCCCATAATTCCTCGTGGTCCAAGATGGCCGCCATATTGTTGAAGTAGTCCATTGTTCTCTTCTAAATCATTGTTACCTGCAACAGGTTCAGATGGTTTGACATCACTTGATTTATCTACTTCTGTTTCCACGGCTTCTGGTTCCAAGTCGCTAAAACAAGAACAAGTAAATATGACTAACAGTGGATCGAGTGCAAATAAGCCGAGAAATATTTCTAACTAATTAGTACAAAATAGCACCAATAAAACAATTACAAAACAAAAGAAATACATGTCTTTAGTTCTATTTAGATTTTGTGCTATATTTCATTGATATATGGTTTGCACTTTAATGCAAGATGTATATTCAGACAGCAAGCAGTTTCTAGATTTGCCTTGATCAATGTTTGGCAGAGTTTAGTTTGGGTCCCAGATCCTCCCGGGCCGTCTTCAAACTAATGACGGGTGCGAAGGAGACTAGAGTGTGAGAGTAAACTACAGCATTCGTCTTACGACAACAGCGGCAATAAAGTCTTACGACAAAAGAAAATATATATTTCAGAAAGTTAAAATGAYTGAAATTTTCAAAATGCTGAAAATTCCTGCAACAGTCTAAAATTGATGCTCACCCTTCCTTTTCACCCTCGTCTTCCTCTCCTCTTTCATCATTYCCTTCGTCCTCGTCATCTCCCAACGCCACTTCCGCTTCCGGTCCACCAGCTTCCTGTTGCGTATCCGGGACATTCTGTTCGGTCGTTTCTTCTACAGATTTAGTATCACTAGCTGGGGTAACTGTAATAGAAGGAAGGTCAGTCATACTTGTGACGTCGGTGGCGAAGTCCCCCTCGGACTCCAAGCTTTCCACTGATTGTTGTCTGAAGGCAGAATCAGATCCTCGACTCTGGGAACGTTCTGGTACAGTCTGGTTTGATGGTTCGCTTCTGTCTTGAATACCTAAGAACACAGGGAGCCCACTTTAGATATATGATCTATAATATATAAGCGGGATAGCTTGAATCTTTTTCTGGGTTAATTTTCATCTATACCTTTTATCTAAAGTGGGCCCTCTATGCTTGAGTGATTGACCAACTCGGAACAACATTCATACAACACAAGACACTGATTTATAGATTGGGGGGGGCTTTTCACAGCCATACTAAATTTGCGTTCAGTCGACAATTTACAAAGTGCTTATCCGACTGCCTTACCGACCAATTCACTTTACCGCAGTCCACCACAAGTGAGTGATGAGGTACATGATCGAGTGCACAAGCGTACCTGTTGTGTCAGCAGAGTAAGACGCTCTTGCAGCTGTGATGTCTTCTGATGTTTCGTCCATTAGATTAACACGAGTGTCATCCACACGCATTCCTAAAATATTAGAATTGAAAATATCACGAGAACTGACCATGAAGTGAATAAAAATATAGAAAAAATGATATATTTTATAATGATAAAATATAGACCTGACGGGTGTAGGCACGGCACCGTCATCATTGGTCACGGCACCGTCATCATTGATCACGGCAAGGCATTGTCTTCATTAATCACGGCACGGCACCGTCACCATTAGTCATGGCACGGCACGGCACGGGAGTCATACGTAATTTTTTTTACAGTCATAAAATTTCCTTTAAAATYCAGTAAGAATGAGCCGAATATTTACCTCCAACAGAAATACTAGACTCCAAGCCAAGGGACTGCATGCCTGAATTGTTACCCTCAGTGGGAGGAGCAAAGTTAAACGGTCGATGAATATGAGGAGAACTGGGGAGAAATGAAATAATAATCAGGAATTAAAGAAACAATACTGTAAATCTCGCCAGTAAGCAGTATCGTATCGTAGGGAAGGGGATCGGGCTCACACTCAAATAATAGGCCGTTTACATAATGGTGTCATTTTACTACCAATACCAGAATGCTTCGCGAATTTTCTTTCTTATTCAAATTTTTATTTCCTCATGAGAATAAAGACTGCAAGTGAACTGAACAAAAGGAAGTGTGCAAGGGATTCTGGTAGTGTTAGTAAATGACGCTATTATGCAAGTGACCTATTATGGTTTCCATTTTATGTAACTGTTCCTGACAAGAAAGCAGACATGTTTGAGCTGGTTTGAGCTGGTTTGAGAAAATCCTCTCATTTTCTCCATCATTATTTATGTTGTTGTGTTCCTGTGGATTGAGCGGGAATTTCGCGCCAAAACGCGCTCCCTTGCTCGCCCCCTTCACTTATACCCTATAAGTGTTAATGCAATTTTTTTAAATAAATAGAAAATAAATAAGCATTACAAAATAAAAAATAATTTAGAGTCTTGGCAACACAATTGCTTCACCAGCAATTTAGAATTTAGCAATTTTAATCAATTCAAAGAAAATTTAATTCAACTGAAATACTGAAATTTTACCTTATAGCCTCGGCGAATCCATCGGTTCGTTTGGGTACGAATAGAGTTGGAGTACTAGGAACGGTGCAGTCATCTGCTTCATCAAACGGTCCTTGCCCGGATTGACCCTACAAAACGTAATATTGAAAAATGATTTGGTACGAAAAAAGTACTCGTGACTCAAGTTGCTGGGTGAAAAATGGGGGGGGGGGGGGTGGAGACACCTCTAATTCATTGCTTGGATACCTTTTTGACTGTGGTAACATGCATACTAAATGCGTATTTCAAAAAACAATACCGCTTGCGGGCAGGCGCTCTATCATCCCCGATTGTAAACATAACTTACCAAGATACAGGATGGTAGTTTGAAGGAAAATTCTCCATTGTGTATTAGCTAAAAATTGTTTATCAGCTCCGCAGAAAGCAAGATGTGAGTTGAATGTTGTATGTCGTAAATATAGAATGTAGTGGTAGTGGAGGAAACCTCATGAAAGAGCCCCGTATGGGGAGTGGTGGTTGTAAAATATATATACAAGCTAATGTTTGAAAGAGCTTCAGAGAGGGGGTTCTATTTAATACTTATTTCGATGCTCACCATGGTGCATCAAGTAATGTTTGAATAAGCTTAAAGTGCCTATCACCCTTCTGACGATATTCTCAGTATTTATTCTACATGGGATAAGATGTTGAATAACCCGAAAAAATTTCATAGTTTGAGTGCGGCTTCTTGAAGTTATAAAGGTTTTTCCACGCTATATGCTAATGCTGTGACGTATGAGGAGTAATCATTTAATATACAAAACATTACTGGTACAGATAAATTAAATTTAAAATACGTCATTGTTTTCCCCATTGCTCTTTTAGAAATGAATGCAAGTTAGTTTTCCCATAGAAGCCGGTGTTTCGAATTACGAGGAACAACAAATAACTATAAATACCTCCTCATACGTCACAGCATTAGCATATGACATAAAAAACCTTCATAACTTCAAGAAGCCGCACTCAAACTATGCAATTTTTTCGGGTTATTCAACATCTTACCCCATGTAGAATCAATACTGAGAATATTGTCAGAAGGGTGATAGGCACTTTAAGAGAGGGGGGTGCTATTCATCACTTTTTCTGATGCTCACCTGGGAGAAAGAGAATGGAGCGAGGTGCGACCTCGGTCGATCGATAGACGCAGTTCGACCAACGGGACCAGGTTCTTCTTCTTGCTGTCGTTGCTGCTGTTGCTGGTCGAATTGTCTCTGAGCGACTGCAACAGATGGAAGCTGTTGAATAACTGGTACGTTTTCTGTCTGTGTTATCTGTACGTCGTCATCTTCTGGGACTTCTGTTTGTGAAGTATCAGGTTCTTGAATATCTTCTGTTGCTACTTGTTCGTCTTCAGCCTCGGACATTTCATTGTCGTCTTTGTCTTCTTCTTCGGCGTCTTCTACATCCTCTACTTCTTCCTCTTCTTCTGCAGTTTGCATGAATTATGATAGAAAGAAGCAAATTCAGTTAGAATAAACCTTCTGATGGTCTATCACACATTTCCCCTTTTATTGTATATAAACGTAATTCAGCCTATGGCTGCGATGTTTTGTAATAAAGCTATCTATCTACCTATCTATCCACAACTCTGCGCTCAGATTGGCTAAGCTACCAGTGATCTATTGATGATAAACCACTAGTAGCGAAAAGTGACAGTTTTGAAAACCAAAAAACAAWTTTTTTCAATCTAAATTTAAATTTTTTTCTCCATTTATTTGATTTATGGTATGGCGTCAGTAAGTGCATCTTGAGTTAAGATACAATTTTCTTTCATACATGGAGTACAACCACGCTACTACATCCTATATTCAAGGCAGTTGAAAGTGTGGCCTATTTTGATGGCAAAAAAAAACCAACAACAAACAAAACAAAACAAACAAACAAAAAGAAAAAAAAAGAATAAAAAACAAGA